GGTCAAGAAAGTGGTTATCTTGAATGTAGGAGTATATGCATGTGTGGTATGCTTGTAAACCTTCTTCATTAAGATAGTGGAACAAATCTTGATCAGGTTGTGATTGAGGACTGGATGTAGGTCACATGTGGAGTGGCTGAACTAGGATAAAAGACTTGTGAAATCTTCTCTTACCCTTATCTTTTACTTTGTGTAATATCTTGATTGTGCATTAAAGAAGATTGTTCTTGATTAACATGTGTGCATGAATAATGTTGGTTTAAACTGAATTAAAGCATTACATATTGGTGTTAACTTTGAACCTCATTATTGGGTAATCAAGAAAACATATAGGTTTCATTCTTCTATAACAAGTCTTTAATAAACTTCATTGAAAATTCATTTTTAGAAAAGTTTAATTGAAATAAAGATCCTAAATACTCTGAAAAATTTTAAAGTGTCATAGAATCCAATTCACCCCCCCTCTTGGATTGTGCCATTCTTTTCTAACAGTTAAGAGCTTGGACTTGCCTAGTCCATCTAGCATCCCTACTGTACCATAGTTTTTAATCTTGGTGGAATCTGTGCATGCTATTTTTGATGTCATAGTGTCAACGGAGGTGATTCTAAATGATGAACCACTCAACATTGATAGCTCCATAGTGGAACCAAACTAAAGGGACCTAGATGACTTCATCTTTGCAGTGTTACCCTTTGCTATGTTCGAGTTTGATGATGGTAGCACAAACACTAAAGAAGCATGGGAGATGGAGTACCTAAAGGAGGAGATGTTAACCGATGATTACTAGACTTTTCCCATGTATAACTCCAACAAATGTTCCTTCTTCATCAATTTTTAGGACTATGAATGGATGTGTCTAAGTACTGAACCTGACATTGTTATTTATTGCACTACTTTGATGCAATGTGTTTCAAGGGAGATCAACTTGAATTGCCTTTCCTGGCTGGATGGCGAAACTCTTTAGATTGTTAAGCAGCAGCAAGGCAAAATGTAAAATTTACTCAACTTTAAAGCTACTATTGAATTGAGCACTGAAAGCACTTCTCACAACCTTCCTTTTGCACTTGGTGAGCTATAAAGACCATGGATGATTCAGCCTTGGACAAAGTTTTACATGCAAGACTATGTCTGTAAGCCTACAATTCACTTCATCTGCAAAGGCAAGGAGAATATGCCTCAGTATGAGTTTGACAAACTACATGACCATTATGCATAACATCATACCTCCTAGGCTCTTTATCTTGCCAATAAGAAGCCTGAATGACTTCCCTTAGCGAAGGGTTACTTCTTTATTGTCTACCTTCTCCCTTCCAAGGTCGAGCCTACTCCATTCAATACTCTTTTTATTAGACCTTAGTTATACATATATCATTAATTCCCCATATAACATTATTTTTCATATATTTTTTCATGGGAATATAATCTTTCTATATAAGATAATGTTTAGGTTTCTAGACCAATCAAGACTCTTTACTTCACCTGCTTCTTCACCATACACAACTCCACCTCTCCCTTCACTCTCTACTAAAGAAGACCACAACAAGGTGATAATTGGCCTCTACCAAGCTCTGTACTACACTCTGAAAAGGAAAGCATGCACTGAAAGGAAATTCAACAAGTTATGTTGCCTTAATATCGATTTGAGCTTTGACAAAGAGGATGCCTTAGACTAACTTTTGCTAGTGTCAAAAAGGGGAGAATGATTAAGTTTTTGATTTGATTAATTATTTTTTTTATTTCTTTCGCTTTGATTTATTTTATTTGCTTTGATTTATTTTATTTTCTGAATGCTTAGATCAAATGTTTTCAAAATTTTGAACAATATGCTCTATTTAGTATACATTATATTTGCTCTATTTTATGCAAGTTATATTCGTCAGATCATGCACATTTTTGGGGAGAGTCTTCTATGCATTGCATATAGCACCTAAGGTAGGCATATATGGTCTGATTATATATGCTCTAACACCTAGGGTAGAAAAATATGTTCTTATATGCTCCAATATTCTTTAATTGTCATGATAAGAAAGAGATAAAATCAAGCATGTTATGCCATATATATAATTAATTTAGCTCTAAAATTCCAAGACTATAGTTGATAAGATATGTACGCACACTTAGTCTAAAAGATTAATTAAATATCATTCTAGCTATCCTGATATAATTACTTAGTCTATCTCAAATGTTATTTCGAATAATGATAGAACTAAGTAAATAAGAGATGATACATGTCTTTAAAAGAAGTGTACTCGTAAAAATCAATATGATTAAATGATCATACAATGTCTTAGATGTGTGTCTTACATCAATTTAATCTAAACGTATCCAAATCGCCTCTTTGTTTTTAAGAATTTTTTTTAGGCAAAAATAAAAAGGTTTTTCAAGTTTAAAAGGTCATAATTGTTTTCAAGAAAAACACTTTTTGAAAAAATTAAAGCATTTCAAAAAGACAAAAGTATTTTTGTCTTACCAAAGCAAAAATATTTTCTCAAATAAAGAAAAATGAACATTTCAAAAATACAAAAATGTATTTGTCACCATAAAAAAGGGGGAGATTGTTAAGTCAAAATATGATCTTCGATCCCTCAAGATTTAATGCTAACAAATAAAACATTTTTATATGAGTAAATGTTCTAAGAAACATCTTCAAAAATATCTTTGAAAATGATTATCATATGAAGTGTAAAACACAAATTGACTATAAGATAATAAAAATCGGGCAAATCATATAGTCTACCTCATATACATTAAATGCTTACTATTTATTGAGACTAACAACAAAATTTGTATTGAATGCTTCATTTCTTAACAAATCAAACTAGAAAGCCATCTTGGAACTCACAAGTCTATTAAAGATAAAAATCATGTTTTTTTTTTTACAAATAAGATCTCTAAAATCACGGAGAAAAGTAGATAAGGTCATTTTTATAGTTACTCTACATTAACATTACTTCTGTAAGTTTAGTTTGGTATGGAAAGTTGATAAGTAGCCTCCTTGATCAAATAAGAGGTGTCATTCAGTGAAATGCATTTAATACTCACATTAAATGAATCAAATGGTTCTTATGAATAATCAATTTTATCCAGACCCACCAAAACAATGAAATGAACGTCTACTATGAAGAGGAAGATCTCCCAAAGTATAAAGTCATTACCATATGACAACAAGGAAGTTTGAAGCCCAAACAAGCTGGTTTTAGGACCCAGGAACAAACTGTTGCAAAACCGGAACGGGTCGTTCCCAATTTGGAATGGGCCGTTCCAAGTTCTTAAAAGGGCCTAAAACCCTAGTTTAGAACGGACCGTTCCTAAACTGGAACAGGCCGTTCGAAGCTCCTAAAAAAAGGATAAAACCTATGCTTGAAACAGGTCGTTCCTAAAATAGAACGGGTCGTTCCTAAATTGGAACAGTCTGTTCTAAGTTATTAAAAAGGACTAACAATCTTCATTTGGAACGGTCGTTCTAGAGTATCGAGTTATATGTTAAACTCATCTATGGAACGAACCGTTCTAGTTTTAGAACGGGCCGTTCCAATTACAAAGTTAACACATAACGACCATTTTCAGAATGGTCCGTTCCAATTTTGGAACGGGCCGTTCTGGCAACTTCTGATGTCTATAAATAGACGACTCGGGCATAGTTTTCGAGGCTGGAAAATTTCGTCCAAGACACTTTAGAGCTCAAAATTTTTCTCTTTCTCTTTGTATTTCTTGAGATCTGTGAGGCATCTGTGTAGTGTGGAAGGTAGCCAAAAAGCACCTCATCTTTCAAGATTCAACGGTATCATATTCTTTTCTTGACTCTTTTTTATTTTATTTATTTTATTTCACTTTTTTGTTGAAAATAATTGCATGTACATAGTGAATATGATTTGTTATCTTCAAAGTCATCATTTAGAAAGTACTTAATATACAACAAATAACAACGTCGATTGAATAACATTTTTATCTTCGACGTTACTTGATTTTAAGGGTTTAATGATTAGTCATTTGCTAACTTAAATTCTTATACAAGTTCATTTTTTTTAAAAAAGGAAATAAATAAAAGAGGTTTATTCCACATATAAATTATCTTCTTGTGTGCAACAATTTATGATGTTAATTGAGTAGCGTTTCTACCTTTAATATCATGTAAATCGTAAAAGCTTATAGAATAGTCATTTGCTATCCAAAGTTTTTATGCACAAGATAAATTAAAAATTATCATTTTATGAAAATAAAAACGATTATCAATAACATTAATTGAATAGCAATTCTATCTTTAATGTTATTGCTAGGGTTTATTGATTAGCCATTTGCTAACTCAAATCCCTATGATTTTCTAATAGAAATACAAAAGAAACATTTCTCACATAAAATATCCTTTTAAGGAAATTGGGGTGTTACAATTAACCCTTTCTTAAAAATTAAACAAGTGTTACATCGACCGCCTGTTACTCCTAACAATACTCATTTTATTAACAAATGAGTGTTATGTAAGTTACATATGGTTTTAATGAATTCTCTTCTCTCTACAATGCTCACATTTTCTCCGATTGTTCCACCCACCTCTCTCTCTCAACTTTTTCTTCACCCTCCACTTTCTTAACCTCACCATCGCCACCTACACCCTCAACCTCCATGTGCTTCCTCCTTGCCAATCGCTCCATCATCCACATCCTTTTTTTTTCTTTTACCTGAATAAGTTATGTGGATTTATCCAACAACACATATCTCTAATATATAGTGGCTTTGTCAACGGAACAAAGCTTCCCACGACACTTTTGAGCAATCTTAAATGCAAACGAGCTATGCGATCAATTTGGTATACAAATTATTATTGATTAGACAATCATACATCTAGAGCTAATATAGAAATAAAGAAACAACTCCAAACTAAAAATAAAAGTCTTTTCGGTGGGAAAGAAATTAAAAGTGAATTTCACATCTGCATAAAGTAAATATATACTATAAAAAATGTTACATATAATTTGAATAATATGCATATTATAAAAAATATTACATACAATGTTGTACAAAAATATCAATATAAGTATAAAATATGTAAGTATAAATTTATTTGGTATATAATTATATACAATTTTAGTTTGAATTTTGAATAAGATTTAACAACATATTATGTATTATATAATTTATACTTATATTTTTTTAATAATATATCAATATATATTGTATTTATAATATAGGTAAAAATAATTTTTAGTAACAAATATTTTGCCACTATATAATATGTGTTACTATATGATAATTTTTTTTTTTTATAGTGACACTTCTTTATCCTTCTTCCTAAATAACGTGTTATCAACCTAGACTAGAAATGGTTAAAAGTAGCTATATATGATGGAGATTGTTAAATATAACTTCGTGCATGTGTTTTTGTTTTGTTTTGTTTGGGGTTGGTGATGGCAGTGACACATTGAACTCCACGAGCTCCAAGATGTTCGAACTGACTTTCATGATTCTGAAGATGATTCTAGAAGGTTATGGCCTTCCAAAGCAATACACTTCGGATATTGAAGAAATGAAGAGCTCTAGTAATTTTCGATTGATTAAGTACATAGTTCCCCAAAACGATGAAGTTTGTGAAATTGGCTTGTTGCCTCACACCGACAAAAGTGCCCTAACCATTTTATGCGAAAATGAAGTGCAAGGTCTTGAGGTGCTAACCAAAACAAACAAATGGATTCCTTTGAAGATACCTCAAGAAGGCTTTGTGGTCCTTGTTGGTGACATATTAAAGGTATATACATCCTTATATTTCTTGCCAAAGAATATGAATTAAGGGTGCACCTATTTATTTAATTATTTTTAAAAATTAATTTTAAATATATTTTTCTTCTTCTAATTACTAAGGAATATCTTCCATCAAATATAGAGATTGATCTCTCTTGAGAGTTTGATAAGTACCTAATAAAATTTCGATAGAATTATCTTTTTGTCATTTCACAAGTATTTCTCGTGCTTATAAGAACAAAAATTAGTTTTATTTGTGGTATATATATATATATATATATACAACTATATATATAAACAACT